GAGAGCATCCGCATGGGGAGGACCCAAATATCTATAGCTCCATAGTCAGGACAGCCCCCTGCCACTTCTCTGGAGCTGTTCTCTGCGGGCACTGACAGGATTTACAAACCTTTCTGCTCCCCTCTTCCCAAACCAGCCTTTGGATGGGCTTGGAAATTGGAATGGGGAGAGAGAAAAGCATTGGTGGTCTTTTATTCTGCCTAGTTACAGATTTTACAGGATATGCAATTACCTTCAAAATCATTGGTGCTTTCTATGAGTGTTCTTAGCATGAATTTGAGGTCTGGGTACCTCCTGAAATTGCAAACACGTTGTTGTGAGTATACGTATTTTTCCAAGATCACGATCCAAGGCTTTGACCAGATTCTCCTTGCCCTGTATTATTGAAGGGAGAGATTAGGCCTGTCTTTCGAAACGTAAATCCAGTCCTCCTGGGTCAACCTCTAAGGTTAGGGAGTAGGAACAACTTAAGGCAGTTGTCACGCTGGTTAATGCCTTGAGCCAGGACCTAGAAGTCCAGTATGCATTCTACCATCCCAAATTTGATTCTCCTGGGCAGTCTATCTCCCAGCCCCCTTTTCTTACCCAAATCCTTTGGGAGGAAATGGGAAAACTGAGTGCTGAGGGCTTCTACCTACCAACCCCACCGGCCCCAATTCTTATCTCAGGGTGATTGGCCAGGGCAGGACTGGGTGACTCTGGGCTGCCTGGTTCCTGCACATCCCTCCCCTTTACCTCCCACTCTCACCCCTTTCACAGACGAATTGCAAAAGCTGCTCCTGGAGCAAATGGAGCTGCGCAAGAAGCTGGAGAGAGAATTTCAGAGTCTTAAAGGTACCCCCATCCCGACCCACCTCACTTCACCCCTCCTCCACCTTATGGCCAGAACCTTCTTCCCGCGCTCCTGGCCTCCTTCCGGGACCCCATTTCAGGCAGCTGCCCTGCGCGCCCGGCGGAAGCCGCTGAACTCTCCATTCCAGGGGGTTCCCGCCACGCCAAAGACTGAGGGAGTGGGGAGGGAGTGAGGAGTGGGGAAATGGGGCCGAGGAGGGGGCTGTGCATAACAGCTCTCACTTAATCAATTTGCACAGATAATTTTCAGGATCAAATGAAGAGAGAATTGGCTTATCGAGAAGAAATGGTGCAACAGCTGCAAATTGTCAGAGGTAAGACGGGAGTCAGGTGAGCGCGTGCACCGGCCGTAACTGCCTCTTGTCTGGCAGGAGCCGCAATGTTGGCTCAGTCATTTGGATTTAAATGGAAGGTAATTTAACAATTATTTTTTTATTTAATATCCTTTGTATACTCTGATTAGCCTCAGAATGGCAAGCGAGCCCAGCAAACGGCTTGCAGGCATCATTACATGGAGTGATTGAACTTCTTATCGCGGCAATTTCCATGGTTTCTAAATTAAAAATCGAGGCGTAAAATTACCTGGGAAGTAATGCCCAAGTTTGCTTTAATTTTGGTTAGATCCGTCTGCCTTTAAGCGCCATCCCAGGCCATTTCCTCCCTCCACCAGGCTGCAGTTGGGAGCATAGATACCCCCTCCCTCAGTCCCCGGACTTGTTTTTGCTAGAGGATGAGAGCTGGGGAGAGAGTGAGGCCCGGGATGTGACCCCGGCCAGCCCGAGGGTGGTCTCATTTCCTCACCAGCCCCTCCCTATGTCTTCCAGACACTCTGTGTAATGAACTTGACCAAGAGCGGAAGGCGCGCTATGCCATCCAGCAGAAGTTAAAAGGTGCGGAAGCCGGGGAACAAAGATAGGAGGGGTTCCAGACGCTGGCTGTGTCCGCGAATGAATGAACGATCGACTGAATAAATGAATTGCGGGGGGGTGGGGTGGGGAAGTAGTGAGAGAGGAAGGCCAGGTCTACATGGATCAGAAGCTGAGAGGAGGGAAGTAGGATTTATTATTATTTTTATTATTTATTATTATTTAATGGAGAAATGATCCTAGAACAGTGGGATAGGGAGAAAGAGTCCCTTGGGCTCTGGGCATTGGAAAATCTGCCGACGGGTCCAAATCTGGCCTTGTGCAGATGGACCTACCTCTTTCTGTGCCTCAGTTTCCCCTTCTGTAAAATGGGGCTATTGAACCAGAACAGTGGTTCTGAATCCCCAGGATCTCTCTCCTACTCTCCTACCATCTTCTGATTCACTGGCTTCAGAATCACTGAGCCAGAGGGGGGTGGGTGAGACTTGGGCTTGAAGGGGAGTGGGACGGGGTGGACCACGCCGGTGAAGCCAGGCAGGCTAGGCACCCAACGTGGCCCGCTCGACTGTCTCTCTAGAAGCCCACGACGCCCTGCACCACTTCTCCTGCAAGATGCTGACGCCCCGCCACTGCACTGGCAACTGCTCCTTCAAGCCCCCGCTGTTGCCCTAGGGTCCGCCCGTCCGCGCCCACGCGCCCTCAAGCCATGCTGCTCTCTTCTTGTAAATACCCGCGGCCGCGGCGGCCAGAGCGAGGAACAAGCCATTCGGACCGGACCGATGTAAATAAAGCCTCCCGCCCGCCCTCCTCCCGGGCGCCTCGGCCTTGCCCGTTCCCTTCCGGGCGTCCCAGTCCGGGGCCCCATCTCCGTTTCCAAGTGTAAATACCACTTCGCCCCACGGTTGAACTCCAAGGCATTGGGACTTCATGGGGTTAACTGGACAGGAGGGAATAAGAAGGGGGGAGACCTCTCCCCCAACCCGTTCAGCCTCGGACCCCCAGTTGTGATTAAAATGTAGCAACTTTGCTGGCTCTGGCCCTGCGCTCCCTGTCCCGTCCACTTCTGAAACTTGTTCCTAATGACAAAGTGGCTATGTGCAATGGATATAAGTGTACTGTGAGTCTCTTGGTTCAGTATTAGGTTCACTTTAATTTATTTATGCTGTAAGTTAATTTTGCTTCCTTTTCCTGAACCTACTTCCCTTCCCGTTTTGCAGTCCCCTTTGGATTTTGCTTTGTCTGTTTTTTGTTGTAACCTCTTGATGTAACAGCACTTTAAAAAGGGCAACAATTGACTCACGAGATGGAGACCACCTAGAGCCTGTTTGGGGAGACCACCCTGTATCCGTGACTTTTGTTTTTAATAATAAAAAAAATCTGTCACTTCCTGAGGCTGTGGAGGCGGGAGTTAGAGGGGGAGGGGAACAGAGGGAGGCTGAGAGCTGCTCAACAGGTGGAGTGTGAGGGACCGCAGAGCGGGTTCCGGGGCGCCAAGGCTGAGAATCGCGCCCGCTCAGGTGGGCAGCAGCGAGCGCCTGACCTCTCCACCAGACCTTCAGACACACCCAGCTTGCCCCACAGGCCACCCCCCGCGCCCACCGCGTTTAGTGCCCTTCGTTGGGCCGCGACCCAGGTAAAGAGGACTACGACTGCCTGGTTCCTGGCACACTGGTCTCTGACTCTTCCCTCGAGCGCTCGCAGGGGACGAGTTTATTCGTACCATTTCCACGCCTGTCTCACCTGAGAAGTCACCTCCAGGGCGCTTAGAGACGGGGCGCTACCCAGAATCCCAGGTTCAACCAGAATTGCCAGGAGGTGGGGACACCGCGGGCCTGGCCCTGGAGCGCTAGGGTGGGGTGCGGGCCAAGGTATGGAGGATGGGCCTGGGCAGACCTGGAAAGGCAGAGCCAGACTCCACTCTGGGGCACTGACGCCCTTCCGCTGCCTAGCCGCGACACAAAGGAGCTCTGGCAAAGTTTAACGTTCCGTCCGTTTTAGTTGGAGTGTGTTTGCAGACATGGAGGAGTCCAAGGTGGAGGGTGAAGTCTGCCCGCCGCAGGTGTCCGAGTCGCCGCGCTCGCCAGGTCCAGACAGCGCGTGGCGGGGCGCGGGAGCCGCGGTTGCTGAGGCCCCACCTGGCCGCCGGCCTCTGGTCGGCCTTAGTTTCCACAACGCACCTGCTAGGGAAGCTACAGATAAAGAATGGAAACTGCCCCGCGGTGGGGGGCGGGGAAAGTGTGGATGGAACGGGAGAGTGCACAATTTTGGGAACCACGCAGCCCTGGTCTCCAGTTTTACCTTCTCGGCTGAGTAGCCGGGTGCCGTGTCGCGCCATTTGTGCTTCCTAGGTTTCCGTGTTGGCCTCTGTAGGCCCCTCTCCGCGCGCCGTGTGGAAGCGTCTGGGAGGAGAGCAGAGCGCAGGGCAGCAGCAGTGCGCGGCCGGGACCAGCTCCCAGAGGCCCCCGCCCTCCGGATACACCCGGGCTTTCCCCGAGCGTTGGTCTCAGAGCTGCGCGGGGTCCCACGCACGTAGACGGTGGAGGCGGGCGTGCGGTTCCGCGGTGCACGAAGAGCAGCTTAGGCCGGGAAGTTTGGTGGCTGGTCGTTCAGAGGGACCGGGCCGGAGCTGGCGAGCAGGGGGTGCAGGCGCGGAACCCGACCACGCGGTCAAGGCCGGAAGCCAGTCTCCAGCGCACCCTGCGCGTTGGGCTCGGAGTCCTCAAACTAGACACAGAAGGAACATGAGTGAGAATGGCTGCGAGGGCGCCGGGGGAACGGCGAGGTCGCGGAGGGATGAGGTGGCCTCGAGTTGCAAGGTCTTTCCGCAGGGACACTCCTGGGAGCGGGAATATTTTCTACGGGCCGAGCGGGCTGTACCAAAAGTGAAATTGATGTCCAGAGAGGAAGTGACTTGCGTCCCCAGGGCGTGCGGGGCGGTGGTGGGTGGGGGGCGCGGTGCGGCGAGCGGAGCTGGGACCCGGCAGGGCAGCGTGGGTGTTGGAGAGTGTACGCACCTTTCCCCCCTTGCACAACCGCACCTTGGAAGCCGCACTTTCCCTCTTGGTAAAATGCGGCAATAGTTATAACCCAGACAGGAATTTCCGTGGCTGCGGCCCACACAAATATTCCTTTTCACCTTTCCTTTCCTAATTCCCTCAAGTGGAGAAAAAAGCCGTAGGCAGCTGGGGCCTGTCGAAAAGGGCGCCCCATCTGGGCCAGAATCTCTGAGGATTGGAGATGTAGGCGGATCCGACCCAGAAAGCTCTGTCGCCAAAACCCTCTTGGGCTCCGCGTCCCTTCAGAAGTGGTTTGTTCTCCCCCAAATGTTAATAACCAAACGATTGGTATGGATGTAATTATCAATAATTATACGAATTATTGCTGATTGCGGGGCTCGTAGCTACTTTAATTAGTTTACCAGATTCTAATTAAGTTAAATGAAACATTAATAGGGAAAATATGCTTTGAAAAAAAAGAAAAACAGAATTTTTTAAAAGTCTATTTCTCGCCACAACGTTGCCACCTTGCGATCCATTTTAGGCATTACAGCCAGCGTCCGAAGACTCCAAACTTGGTCGCCTTGTCTTAAGAACAAAAAGTGAGGCTTGGGGAATCGAGAGCTGTCTGTGGGGCACAGAATGTTCTCCCGGCTGTTCTTTCGGGGTTTTTGGTTCCGCATCCCTGACCCCCGGCGGTTCCCACAGGAGGTCTGACTCTGGAGTGCAACGTCTGAGGGTAAAGAACCTGGTAAATCATGAGCTTTCAATCTCCCACTCCTTTTTCAGCAGAGGAACTCTGGTTTCTCCATAGGGAGCCGCGGTGGGACAGGTGGTCTCCATCTTCACCTGTCTCAGCAAATCCAGGGTGAGAAACAGGCGCTAGTAGAGACAGCATCAGGTTGCTTGATTTTTTCATTCCCCTGGGAGAAACAAAGAGGTCACTCCCAACCTCCATTTACTCTGTAAATAAGGGTACTCTGTTGGCAAAAAAAAAACACCCCAAAAAACAAACAAAAAACAAAAAACAAAAAAACACCTGAAAGACCCCTGGGTCCCTGGGAGTGATATCTATGTTCCCACTGCACTTATTCCACGAGGTTAACAGGACACTCACCTCCCTGAGTTATCCTTGGTTGTGTGTGTCTTGTTTCCTATAGGACTGTAAGTACACTGGCAACGGGGGCAGCATCTTGCTCTTCCTTATGACCTCCAACACAGGTTCAGTGTATCACAGGTGCTCAAGAGTTGTCTAGATGAATGGCTTCTAACTTTGTGGTTCATCTGCGTGCTGGAAATGTCTGAGGGAAGGAATCCTTAGGTGCTTATGGACAATAGCTACTGAGAAGTATTTAAGCTAGTTTTCCTAATATTAATTAAGCACAAGGTTGCTGCTCAGACGATCGATGATCCTTCATCAATAAGATTAGTTTTGGGGATAGGTGTCAGATAAGTGATTGTCAGCCTAGAATAGGAAAACTTTTTTCCTCTTCCACTTTCATGCAAAAGAGGGTACTCCTTCTTTGCATTTTGCCAGGTCACCGAGCACATATCTGTCCACCCATTCCCAGCTACTCTGCTCTAAAGTATAGCCTCAATCCTTTGCAAAAATGAGACTCTGTTCTTGAATTCAGAGCACCAGTAAAGACAGAAGTAGACCTACATGCTCTTTCCATTAATTCTAAACAGCTTTATCTCCTACTCTTCACCCTCAGAGTTTGCATAGTGTTTGATTATGTGCACAAACTCTGTAGCCAGATTTCTTAGGTCTGAGTCCCTTCTCTGCTGCTGACTAGTTGTGTGACATTGGTCAACTAGTTAAATCTCTCTGTGCCTCAGCTTCCTCATCTATAACACGAGTGGGGAAAGTGTACCTAATTCACAGAACTGTGCAGAGCCAGGAGAGCCAGCCAGGTCTCTGGCTTTTCCAAGACTAGGAATTGCTTATCTTTCCTAATTTCCGGTGTGAGATAAAGGGTCATGCCAAGAGTTTCTTTAGAAGGAGAGGGAGACACACCAGCGTTGGTAGTTTCCTTGTTTGGCATCTCAGTAGGAGGTATTTAAAAAAAAAAACACTCGACCAATTGCCGAAGTGGCCTCCAAAGAACCAGGCAGCGTTGGAGGAAGAAAGAAAACCAAATATTGGTTTTTCTAAACCTCTAACTCCATGCATTGGAAACCGTGAGCCGAGGAAGAGGCGCAACGAGTGGTCCCACGGACTCCTATTCTCGGCTGTTACATGGAAAAGATCATTTCACCCCGACTGAAGAGAACATAAATGGGTCCCTGATGGAACGCTGCACCGCAGCTACCAGCGCCCGCGGTAGAGTAACCGTCGCTGCTCCGGGGCGGTGCTGGGGCTCTCAGTCCCTGACTCTCTCCCGCGACTTCGGCAGCACAGAGCCTGCGAGCGGTGCTACCACTGGACGCCCACCGACTGGCCTTCCAGAGGCTGCAGGGACAGCAGGGCGGACTACTGCGTGCTCGGGCACCAGTAAAGCATACGCACCAACATTTTCTCCTGGAAATAAATTGATATTTCAAAAAACATTGACAAAGTCATCACAGGAAATCTGAACTTTGTCTTCTTCTTATCTTACTAGTTAGGAGTGTGTGTGTGTGTGTGTGTGTGTGTGTGTGTGTGTGTGTAATTGCCTGGGGACAGGGCCCCGATCTTTACAGGGACTGTGCCTTTAAACGTCTTATCAGGCCTTGCCTCAGCCACTTACTAAATTACATAATCTTGCCCAGGTTACTTCTCAGCGTCTCTTGCAAAATGGTGACAGTAACACCCACAGGGCAGGGCTGTCAGGAATATTAAAATGAGATATTGGTGAAGCCCCTGGGACATGGTAGA